ATCTATTTTTAGTTTGTGGTAAATATTTCTATGGGTTTTCCATTTAATTTATAAAATACACATTTTTCTACAACTACATAGAGAAACGTACAAACATACTCTACACATACATATTCAGTTTGTTACAATTCTCATAAAATTATTATGTTCGCAAACCTCAAACATGTCGGCTGGGGAATTTTTTGGCAAAAGGAATTAAAACAAAAATTAATATGTTCATACACATAAGCAAAAATATGAAAAACTCCACATTTACCAAAGTTACTGTGGTCAAAGTGTTAGTCAACTTTTATAGGAGAGGACGAGCAAGGAAGGAAGGAAGATTTATCATAAATTAGTTCAACTAGGTCCATCGTTAAAAAAGTCTTATTTTGAAGCAAATAAAAAAAATATATACAAACGCGTTTTATTTAATGATACATTTGGTAAAATGGCGGATGGGGAAAGTATGCAGCCAGCCAACCAACCAACCAACTAGTCAGCCAACTAACCACCATACTGCTAAACAAGAACCAGCCATTACAACCAAGTTGCAAATACATAAAATTGCACATAGATACATTTACAACGACACATGTGTTTTTGTGTGCAAACATGGAGTAGTTTGTTAAAACCGCATTGCGTTTTATCTCCTTTTGGTTGGTGGAATGTTGTTGTTGTTGTTTTTTGTTTCACTCATATAGTTGTTGCGAGTTTCCCGCTGTCAGTAGGTGTGTTGTTTGTTGGTTAGTTAGTTGTATCGTTGATCTAAAGTAAAGTATGTCAGTCAATTAGTAGTCAGTAGGTTCTATTTTGTTTTTCCACTTCATCCTCAATGATGACCATTGTACACTGACATATCCTTGTTTTAACGATTTGTTTTATATTTTTGTTATTCCTGCCTTTTAGTTTGAAACTACTTTTGGTTTGGATAGTAAATGTTACGTTTGAGTTCTTGTCGTAGTTTTTTTTTCTAGTTTTTGTCTTTATGAATACGACCAATTTTAATTAAGCAGGATTAATGCATACATGCACATCATCACGGGGAGTGGTGGTATATTTATTATTCTTCTCATATTGAAAGTCTAGGAAAAATGTGATATGAACATTTAATAGGTTTTTATTAGGGTAGAAAATATTTAAATTGTTGTCCATTTAAAAGTTCATTCATATCGTGACTTAAGTTCATTTGGGTAATATCACCACAAATTTGGTGTCATGGAAAAAAGGCTATATGCCCAAGGGTTAAATTTAAAAGGGCTATTGTCATATCCTTAATTCTTGCAGTCCGCCACTATTGATATAATACGAAAAAGGCTAATGTGAGAGCTACCAATCTAAAACTTTTATGGACTGAATTAAAAAATAAAAACTCTGATAATAGTCCCAAACAATTCGGAAACAATCCACATACTTAAGTCAATTATCATTCGTGTTTTTCGTGTGATAAATTCAAAAGCCATCAACAAAGTCTTTGAAAATTTTACTAACAGGATAAGCCAGTCACTGTAGCTATATTAACAAAATTATCTTCCATCGTTAGCTGTGATAATTTCCCAACTATCTGTCCACACATACATTCGGGATCGAAAGAAGTGATAAATGGTGTTCATAAAAATTAAAATTTTTTAAACAAAAGAAACTATGTTATTCAATGATCCTCTACAAAAACAACAAAATAGGATAATAATAAAGTTAAACATTAAGATGCTCTACTCGCATAAATCCTTCAAGTCTATGTTCCGCTAGGGTCTTGCGATGACGAAAAAAGTGTGACATTCACTTCTAACTTTTCGACTTCTACTGAAGTCGTTACTTGTAGGTTAGATTGATAGGAGGAAGTATTTGCATAAAATCTGCAGAAATATAACTTTTCATTTAAATTGTTTGTTAGTGTTAGTGAGGGACTTTATATCCAGAATAACAAAACTCCCAATATATTTTGATCTAATTTCGGTGAAAGCCTGACAATGGCGACGAAAGTGCTTCAGAGCATCATTCTCCTTACTATAGGCTCTACATTCGTCTGAATCCGCACATCCAATTTTGTATAGCTGTGTCCGTAATACTGTGTGTCCACTCAGAATACGTACCATCATACTAACCAATGTGAGGGGTCTTCTCGTTTTGCTCTTTCTTTCAACCCATTATTACATGAGGCTCATATCGATATTTTTAATTCTGCACTCATTGCTTCAAATGTTTTTGTCTTTATCAGATTAACTAGCTCAAAGCTATTACATTCGCCCTTTCGTTGCCGACTACTCCCCAGTGGTCTGGTACCCATATGATGTAAACCTTACCTCTAGGAGGGTATTCAGTTAGAGATTTATTGTAATCCAATAGGCCTTAGATTAAACTTTATCATCTGATATCGCCCAAATGGCCTTCTGGCTGCCTCTAAATATGTTAAGACTCCGTGTTTGTTCTAATTCAATTTATGCATTCCGTTATTGCTCGGACTTCTATCTGGAAGCTAGTGTTGTGATTAGGTAAACTGTGGTATATTTCTGTTTCTGGGTCTTCAATATAGAACCCCAGGCCCATTTTGCCCCCAATTTAGAGCCATTCGTTAGCAACGAATTCCTACTATTTTACATTCTATCTGTTATAAGTGTATGATAGCGTATAGCCTTCCAATACAACTAGTATACATTTATGACTTGTCCTATAACCGTTTTTGGCCAATTTGCCCAAAGTTATGAGCCGTTTGGCTGTGAGTGCCGTCTCAAATCTTATATAGGTTTCAATCGATAGAATATCTAGCGTAAGCTGAACAACTTGTACTTGTTTGATATTATACTTTATGTCCAAAGAAGTCCACTAGATTATTAAAGCATAAGATAGATTGTGTCATAATAAGTCTAAAGCCCCATTTCATGCCCATGGATCTCCTATATAGCGCCCAGCACCGATGTGCCTTGTTGATCCTATACTCTATGTGGTCTCCATTTTAATTATCGATCAAGTATTACACCTAAGTACTAAACTCTGTCACCGGTATCTTCTTGCCCAGGATACAATATACTTAGAATTTTTGGCATTTTTTGTGAAAAGACAGATTTCCGTCTTCGCCGGGACAACATTGTGGTCTATCGGTAGAGCCCAGCTCACGGCCGTATTCAAAACCCCTTCAGCTCTTCCACAAAAGTAATTTGGATACATTCCGCTTAAAGTATTACGACATCGTCTGCATAATAGACCTTTCTCGGTTAGGGTCCTTAGATGACTATTAATCGTGGCGTTACTTGGAAGATTTAATATTCTGATACAAGGCTATTGGCCAGTAATCACTACAAATGCGTTGCGTAGCTGTGCTTGAGAACCATATGTCGGCAAAGGAGTCAGTCTCTACCCTTGCTGTTGAGTGATGACCCAGTATTCAATACATCCAAATATTTCGCACACTCATTAAGAGATACCTTACATTTAAGTAAAAATTTTTGTTTCGTATAAACATCATTGTTATCTCTTTGGGGTGCATTACCTGTCAGTATATTTTTGATTATAGCTCCGTATACTTCTCTTCAGTCTCTACAAAACTGTTCTTAGAAATTTCTTTTCCTCGATTTTCTTTTCTTAAAAGATGTATAAATTTAAATTTTACTCAAAACATAAGCTTGACTGTCAACTTATTATTTACGTTAATCATTAAATCTTGTGCACACTTGTATTTACCCAAAAAGTTTTAAGAAACTGTCACTAAGATTTTATAAATCACTCATTTTGTTAGTCTGTCACCTTGCAATCTACAGACATCTTTATCTTTGGAAGTTATAACAACACAAACTTTTAATTAACAATAAATTTCAACCACATTGTTAACCTTTTCGCTAACACTTGACAAACTTTCTTTTTTCTAACAATTAAAAGAAATGTCAAGTGTTTACAAACTTATAAGGCCACAAAAAAATTATAATTAAAAAGTAGAACACTGACCTTTTCATGGAATTGAAGTAAAACAAAAAATTTTAAATGCATTACAATATATTAAACAAAAATGTTTTACAAACTAAGTACCTCCAATAGAGACTCGCATAAGTGTTTATAAAACACAAAATATTTAGTCAAAAAGTAAAAAAATATTAAATAAAATGAATCAATTTGTTTTAAGTGTCGTAACAACACTCGTTAAATTGGCACTTTGCCAGAAAAAAAAATATTTGATAAAATTTAAATTTAATTTTTGAACTTCTATGAAAATTTTCATTCAATATATTTTGCATAAAGTAGTGTGTGGGACCAAAGAAAAGAGAATACTCTGCTTAAGAGAATTTACTAGGAAATATAAAAGAGTACTATAAAACTAGAGCAAGAAAGAACTAGAGAAAGAATCACAACAAAAATGAAAAACATATGATACACATACAAATGTAAAAAGTATTCAAAAAAGAAAATGAAAAGCAAAACAAAATTTAAGAAAAACAACAGCTAAAGTAAAATCAATAACAGGCATGCGCCATTTTAACAGCTGAATGAGAAATAAGCTTTTTGTAATTTCACTTTAGTGGATTGTTTACATTTGCCAGGAGAATTTAGAACGAAAACAAAACATAAAAGAAATTAACAAAGCCAACATATGTTTTAGAAAATTCTATATTAATGGTCGTTGCCCTAACACTGCAATGAACGATGAATGGCAGCTAACAGTGATTTTAAAACTGTATCGCACACATTTATATGTATTGAAATAGAAAAACAAAATCACATATGAATGTCATCATAGTCCATCTCATGCCAAGTTTTTATTTAATTCACACACACATTTCAAAAGAAATTTCTATTTTCTATTTTAAATAATAAAAAAACGCAATCGACCATGCAATCTCATCAATACGAACAAGCAACTTGTACTTCCGGTTTATATCGCGTGTGGATTTTTCACGTTTGACATTATCGCAATGAATGAATGAATGTTCTTGCTGTACATCTGTTTAAATAAATCTAATTTATAATTTCACTTTTTGTATTTTTCAAATGATGTTCTCGTGTTAATGTGTATTTTTTCTATTATTTTATAGCTTTTTTTCAGTGACAGCCATTTTGTAGACAACAACGGAAATTTGCTGCCAAATAAAAGACCAACTAACGAGGTCAACAAACTGACTGCGTGCGTTTACACGCAGAGTTTGTTGCATGTTTAATTTAATAAACATTATTTTTACACTTTTTTTATAAAAGAAAAATTTTCATTTTGAGTTTTTAATTAAAACAAAATAAAAATTGCCAAACGATTAATTGTTAAACGCAATACACAAACAAAAAATTTGAAGAACCAACGTTACAGTTTTGGATTTTAAACGAAAAAACAATTTTAAAGCTGAGGTCATTTTAAGCAAAAATGGCTGAAGCTGAAGGAGGATCTGAGCAGGATGATGTTTCATTCTTGAGGACGGTAAGTGTTTAGAATATTTTATATTAAAAATTTCTTTACTATTAAAAACATAGACGTATACTTAATAATTATTTCATATAAGAATTAAAACATTACTCATACGTCTAGTAGTAATCGTGCAAGTGGTAAAATGGTTTGATTATTGTTACGAACATAGGCGTATACTTAATAATTATTTCATATAGCAATTAAAAATTACTCATACGTCGAGTAGTAATTGTGTGTAAAATGGTAAAATGTTTTGATTGATTGATTGGTGGTAAAATGTTTTGATTGAATTACGTACATATTTTTGTAATGAAAAATTTTATAAAAATTAGGATATCTGAATAAATTCTTTAATTAAAATAATTTATATATATTATAAATAATCGGTAAAGCAGGATTTTTTCATCATACGTCGGCTGTTGTGAAAACATACCAAAGTCTCTAATGGAAATCGACTTTACAACCTCCAGACTGATAGTAACTAACACACTACCAACTAAAATACCAGGACATTCTCGATAGAGACTATTAAAGTGTATAAATTGCGGTTAATACAAGTCTGATAAAATAGTTCAAGGAAGAATTTAGAATACATGAGGAAGCTAAACTGCCTTCTTGCAAGTTGGTGATCACTTCTCCACTATTAGGATTCAACATCTCCATGTAGCCTATAATGATGCTGTGGACACGATTGGTGGTACTTTGGAGTTATACCCTCTTTATGTGGGCTAGTAGTAACAGCCAATAAGCAAAGCTAGACTCAGGGCGCCCTGAGATGACAAGTGTATGGCCAATTTAGTAGTTTATCAGAACAGAATGTGATTTCATTCGGTAGTTCACAGTCCAATTTTTTAAATAAACTGTGGACTTTGAAAGTATAGGAAGATTCTTATTCTTGACCAGTCCCAGATTAGATCCGTACAAGAGATAGTTTTCCCAAAGTCTTCTTCTTGACAAGTCCCAAATTAGAGCTGTACCAGAGATAGTTATTTCCATCAGTTCATCAGGGTGCAAGCAAAGTTAAAAGAGCAGTCACTCTATGAGCAGCTCACTTGGATCCATTTAATTTCTAATCCCATTGCGTTACCCAAGTGACCATATCAGTATGTGTTAAGTGTTAGTCTCCGCTTGCAGAAAAAAACCAATCGGTTTCATGGATAAAGTTGAAGATATACATAAAGATTTATTCCGAATAGCTCCTCCATACTCCTCCTCTTCATTATGACAACTTCTGCAGATAAGAGATAGTTTTCATAAAGTCTTCTTCTTGACCAGTCCCAAATTAGAGCCGTACCAGAGATAGTTATTTCCATTAGTTCATCAAGGTGAAGGCAAAGTTAAAAGGGCAGCCAATCCATGAGCAGCTCACTTGGATCCATTTAATTTCTGAACCCATTGTGATACCCAAGTGACCATAGCAGCATGTGTTAAGTGTTACGCTCTGCTTGCGGAAATAAACCAATCGGTTTCATGGATAAAGTTGAAGATATTCATAAAGATTTATTCCAAATAGCTCCCCCATACCTGGCAGTTTCATTATCCTCTTATTGATACCAACTTCTGCAGTAGTCATTATATTCAAGATTTTTACCTAAATGATCATCATACTCCTATTGAATTAGCTTGTTGTTTTTCTTTAGAAGCAATTTTATGGTTCACTATCTTATTGTTGTCGACTTTACTAGTCTACACTGGTGTCTTGACTTCCTCTTAAGACTTGTTGTGGCCTTCTTTTCAGACATATTTTCCTTTGAAAAGGTATATCTTCACTTTGTCACTGAATGATTCGAGCATGATTGAAGTATTTTTCTTAAACTCCTCCTCTATGCCTTAGATAACCATTTAGCACAATATAATCTTCTGGAGCAACGTTTTCAAACTCCTCCGCTATACCTAAGATAACCATTTAGCTATGTATGGTGGCATACATCTCTTCCACCAGTCGATCTTATTCGTTATTGTGTTTAAGTATAATGGTGTTGTTCGTATCAGAAGTTTCGAGTACATGCTTCTCCTCACCCTGTTATTTTTGGCCAATGTCATATTGAACACTTGACGCATTGTCTGGCATGGAAGTAGGACGACTGGGATATCTACACCATTAGATATGTTTTCATAGCAAAACTCTCCAATGACGGTGGCCATTCTGCCTACTAGAGACCATTCTGCCACCTGGTGACACGCACCGAATAAGCTTGACAAACTCCCTTGTGCCAATGTAAATATATATTTATTTTTATATTTATACATATTTAATTTACATGGTAAATTAAACTCAAATAGAACAATTTTATTGTATTTTTGTTGGCCAATAATAACAATAATAGAAATCAACTATTAAAATTACTACACATAATACAACATTCAGGCTTACATAATCGAACTTTTGCTACCAAAGTCCAGTCGAATAATAATACGAATACAATTGATTACGAGTATCTAAAGTCGATAGGATTGTTTGTGCCTTTTGTTTTGTTTGCAGTTGTATTTGTGATTATTGTTGCTGTCGCTATACTACAACTCGTTAATAATTGTATGTTTAATGAAGTGTTTTATATGATTGTATTCATACACATATTGTTAGGCCTTGTTATGTATGTTGTGTGACACAAAAGGGATCTCTGTTTAGTTAGGCCTTGCAATATTGTACTGTTTGGCTTAAATTCAGCTGCAAAAATGCTACGCATAATTAAATCTTTATTTGCGTTAAACTTAATTGATTTTATCAACGAAAGTTATAAGAAGCATATTGTTACGCACTGAAAGTTTATATAATATTTTTATTTCGGTTTAATTCACTCAATCGTTTCATTTAGTATCGTTTAATGCCATGATAATTTTCAATAAACCTAATGTCAGTTAGTTAGTGTGGAAGTTTATTTAGCCATTTTATTTGAAATCATAATAGTATAACTAATTTAAGTAAAATTTATTATTAAATTGCCAATATTTTCTTTGAAGAGGAGATATTATTTTGCCTTTAATTTGGTACTACTTTGAGGATACTGAACGTTAAATGAAATAATTAGTAATAAATATAAAAACTAATGTTATGACTAAACAAGTAAAAAATTATGATCGAACATGACAAAATATATGATACCCTACACTTACATATGTATATGGGATTGACTCCAATAAAATGTAGGAGAGTGATTACTGTTATTATGTCAAATTTATTAAAAACAACGATATTTGTCAGTGTTCAAATAATTTTCGAAAAAAGGTCCTTTATTTCACATAAAAGGATATTTAACGCAATCCATTATGTATTTTAATGTTTGCTCTAATTATTAACAACTTTAGCATGCTCATCATCACCTGCAATATAAGCATTACTCTGACTACACACACACACTCGTAATATACATAATTATATATGTATTTATATTGTCCTTAACCATTAACATTAATGACAAATAGATATTAGCCTGACACACTTAAAATACGCCATGTGATCTTTTTATTGCTAAAGCGTAAAAATTTCAATAAAAAAATCCTTAAATTTAGCTCACAACAATTGGGACAATTCAAACTGATGATAATGTCGTTGCTGTTGCTGTTTGTTGTTGTCATTGTTGCTATTTACTGAATAAAAATAGCATGTCAATGGTTTGGTAAAACTAATCAATACGAATGTGGAATAAGACTTGGTTTTGTATGTTGTTGATTTTGTTTTTGGCCAATAGGTCCCTAATAGGGACAATAAAAGCAGAAAAATAAAACACACTCACACATACAAAAGTACTACAAAATTCAACAACAAAAAAAAAAAACAAAATAAAATGGTCGATTGGTTTACAATACATACACAAATATACATTTGCACACACATACACAAATACTCACACATACTTGCTACTCATTATAATAGAGTATAATGAAATACTCTAAAGCACGCATCCCAACCATATACATAACAATAGATTTGCATTTGTGTGTGTATGTATTAAATATTTAGAATGGATATTTAGACTTGTTCCAAGTACGAGAACTTTTCGTGTAGGAAATGTTAAGCAGGGCATAATACAGGTGGTCAATACTCGAACATAGTTGATGAGTAATCTATTTACGTACGTGAAGCATTGAATCGCCATTAAATTTAAATGTCAATACGTTTAGATCAGTAATGGGCGCACATGTATAGTAACATTTATGTTAATTTGATACTAATTTGCACAAATGTCTAATTTGCCCAAATCTAATCGTCTGATTGAGTTCTTCGCTAAGAATGTATCCTTTATTATAATAGACAATTGTCACTTTAGTGTCGCCAAGTAATGGGGAATGGAAGTCAACTGTCATTTTTACTGTAACCCAGTAGTCTAAATTATAGACACATGAAACTTGGTTTTGTATTGTATTTCGGAAATCCAATACAGAATTAATTGTACATTTGTAGCCAAAATTATAATTGTAAAAATACCGGTAAGAAAAAAAGAAGAATTGCGAAAGTGGAGAAAGTGGAGAAAGAAGAGAAAGATGTCGAAGTGCTTTACGTGAACACCGGTTTTTGAACTCACTGCAGTCCTTTATGTATCTTACACAATGATCGCTACTGCCAATACATGTAAAAGCACTTTGCTCAAGTACTCGAGCTATCTAATCTATGATAATTGCTGCCCCGTTGCTTAACTTCCGAGATGTAAAACATTAATTCCGTTTACAAGAGGGATGCCCTCTGTTGAGTAGGTAACAGCACCTCTCTTCCCGCGAATTTGTGTTTAATCCACTGCCACCACTTGCACTTCGAAGAGAACTCTCCAATAACTGAGACAAGACAAGTCCAAAATTCTGCCATGTGGACTACCTGTTCCCGTAGTACCAGATTATGTGATTCTTTGGTTCGACACCATGTCAAATCATTCCAAGTAAAGGCCGAAGATACATTTGATTATCAGCAGTTTATAGTCCCGGTAGACTAGAGGTACTGGTAGCACCTATTTTCCTCGCGATTGTAATAACAACAAGAAGGTAACATTCCACGGGGGATAGATAGAGGATAACGAAAG